AAATACCGAATAGTTTCTCTAGTGTGAGAAACTGAAAGTGAAAATAAGGATGAAAATGATTAAAATGAATAATTGATAATTTGAAATAGGAAAAGGTCCAAAGGAGTAGGGGTGGTGGGAGGGGAAGGGGGAAGGGAAGAGGGAAAAGAAAAATTATGAAAAAGAAAAAAAATGGAAACAAAATCTATGTAAAAGGGAAGGGTGGAGGGGGTGAAGGGCGCACAGGTAATGGGGGAAAAAATAAGAACTAAGATACATCATGTGTCAGGTACAAACACCCAATGATAAATGTAAATGTATTGTATACCTAAAATGTACCAATAAATATATTTTTTAAATTCCAGTTTTTATACAGTCTCAATAATAGTTGGCAGGGTCAGTCTTTTCATTTTAACCATTCTAATGGGTATATATTGGTATTTCATTGAGATTTTAACTAGCATTTTCTGAATAATTGAGAGGAAATACAACTTTTAGCAACTGGAAGACAGAACTGATGAGATCCAAAGGAGTAGACAACAAGGTAGGAGGAAAACTGGGAAAATGTAGCATCATAGAAGGTTCCTGCCCTCCTAGAGCTTATATTCTAGTGGAAGGAGTGGATATTCAAGAACACAAAAAAATAAACCAAAAAAAGCACAAGCAAAATCATTTCTGATAGTGAGAATGGTGGTAAGGGATTAAAACAAGGGTGGGACAGTGTCTAGGGAGGCAGATTCTCTGAAGAGACAGCATGTGAGCTGAGACCTCAAAGAGCTCCAGAAATAACTCAGAGTAGTGATCTCTCAGGTGTAGAAACAACTCAGAGAGTGATTAACAGGGTCAGATGACAGTAACATGAAGATTGAAAACTATGTTTTGAACTTCATGACATGGAGGTCACTTGTGTCTTTATTAAAAGATGTTCTAGGGCTGGGGATTTAGCTCAGTGGTTCCTTGCAAGTGCAAGGTCCTGAGTTCAATCTCTGATAGCAAAAAAAAAAAGATGTTCTAGTACAAATGAGATTCAGCTTCTAGCCTCTTTCATATTTTCAGAATGAGTGGCATTGCATGGCCTTCCAGGCAACACTCTCTCCACAAGGTCTGCTTCTCAGTTCCACAGGGCCACATTTCTGAGCCCCTGGGAGTAAAGCACCAGTTGGCATCTATTTGCAGCAGTTCCAGGTTGCTAGAAGGTGCCATACACTTGATTCCTTGGGAAGCCATTGTGGGATCCAAATTCACATGTAAAATGTTATTAAGGAGTATTCTTGGGTTCATCAACTCTGGGAGAGACAGGGAAGAAGCAAAGCCAGGCAGGGAGAAATTGGGCTGTGATGCGGTCACCCAAAGGACAGCTTGGAAGCTATAGTTCAGTGTTATCTCCATCTGAGGAAAAGTTTCTGAGCCTTCATCCCCTACACAGATGAGTTATTGGATGTGGCATGTCCCAGGAAGGATCTGTGAACCAGCTATCCCCAGCTGTGGGCAATTCCTGTACAGCTGAGGGCTGTCAGACAGCAACACCCCAAGCACCTTGTTCCCTTCAGCTCTGAAGGAAGATCTAAGTGGCACATTGTAATATCCACTACAAGGAGTTCACTCCCCAAGCTTCTAGGTTCTAATAACACCAACCTCTTCCCTTGGCTCTCTACCTAGAAATGGAAGCGACTTTCTTTATTTACTATCTCTAAAGTACTGCAGAGCCTCCTTTCTGCTTCTTCCAGCCTCTAATACCCATTCAAAGAATTTCTTCTACCAAATTCTCTAATACTGCTCTTGTTTTCCTGACTCATATACTTCTCCACCTAGATGACTCCAAAACAGATAGAGAAGGCAGAGGATGGGTGAGAAGCCTCTCTTTGGCCTACTAACCAGGTTACACATAACGTGGAAAGGTCAATGTGGACAATATCAGGATATGTTCTGCTTGCAACTCATGCACTCTCAGAGTCATCTGAAATCTGGAACATCTGTTCTGTTCCCTCTGTGTTTGTACCCTGCAGATGGGAATGTGCCCAAACTTGGGGTTCCTTCAAGCCCCCTGTGTAATCCATTTACTGTATCTCTGATAAGTTAGTGATATAAATGGCTCCCTTGTGATCTGAAGGTGTTAACCCAGACTCTGTCCAAGTGCCTGACTTCATGTAGAAGTGACTCAGGCTCAGGGATAATGAGATGGGAAAACAGTACAACTGATCACTGCAGAGGCAAGAATGATTCAATATTTCTTCTTTCCATTTTTCAGATCGCCACCAGATCTAATTTGGGGTCACAATGAAATGCTAGAGACCTTCACTGACACATCCAAAATATAAACAGATCTTGTCAATTATAACCAAGTGTCCACCACACTCACATGTAGTCATCCTGGCTTTGGGAGACATATCTGAAATATAATTCCCCAGCTCTCATCATTAACATTAAGAAGTAATCAGAATACAGATCCACCTCTGTTATTCAGAGCTTATTTTATTAACACAGAAAAACCATGATTCACCTTAATAATTTTATGGGGAAGTTTAGACACTAGTAAGCACCACTCATGTAGTACATTATGAACTTGATGATAAGGAGGAAGCAAAACACATCATGATTACCAAAAATTCCTCACTGATGACAACTCTTTCCAGAAAAACAACAAAATTGTATTAAAGGAATTAAATATACAAATCTAGAAATACATTACATTTAACATTATGACTCAGTTTATTTTTTAAATATGTTTTAAAATACATTGTGCATCTCTCCTGATTCTCCAATTATGTGCAGAAGCCTCTCTGACTGTTTCTCTTCCAGACTTCCATTTGTTTCTCCATCCTGAAGCAGAATTAGAGCTGAACAGATGCCCAAGGCAGTGACTATGATGCCTGCTCTGCAACCCTCTTGTGCTGGCTCCGGATGTGGCCCTCACTGCTGGACGATACTTCCTTTTGTAGGTTCACCTTGCTAATCTTTCCAGTCGTTTCAATCCAGGGATGCTGAAGAACCTGGTGAGCCGTGTAGCGTTTTTTGGGATCTACCACCAGCAACCGGCTTACCAGATCTTTGGCAGCTGTGGGAGTGAGAGGAAGGGGGGAATGTAGTAAATACAGGTGCTTCTGAATTTTCCCTCTCCATGCATGAAATAAGAGCACACACATCCATGTTCTTTCCTATTCTAGGGCAGTGCAATCCAATCCAAAATGGAAACATTTTAGACCTGCTCTATCCACATGTGACTATAGAGAATTTGAAATCTGGCTAGTGAGACTGAGGGACTGGATTTTTTTATTTTATTTTCTCTGAAAGAATCCACATTTAAATTTAGCTATGTGTAGCCAGAGGGTACTATGCTGGACAGCCCAGCTCTAGAGTACATATATCTGTTCATTTCTCTAGAATCACAGTGTCAGGGCCACACCTAACATCCAGGAACCCACAGCAAGAAAACAAATGGAGGCTACACGTCATAGCTCAACATACTTTAACATTTTAACGCAAATTAACAAGTATTTTTACTCTTCTTAAGTTGATAAATATGTCTACATGTAGACAAAATTGAACAGATGAATTTGTAAAGAAATCTAAGTGTTAAATAACACAAATTCAAATTTAATCTTATTTTCTTCCCAGGACCATGGCTTATTCTAGAGAGACGTGGTAATATTTGGTGAGCCAGGTGGCAGTGGAGAGGAGAAATTGTCCCTCCCTGGCCTGCTGGTTCTCCCAGCCTGGCTCATGGAGTCTGCTCTTCCAATCACTCAAGAAATGCACAGGTAACCAGGCACCGTGGTGCACACCTGTAATCCCAGCACTCAGGAGGCTGAGGCAGAAGGGTTGCCTTGAGTTTGAGGCCAGCTCGTGCTACATAACAAGTTCAAGATCAGCCTGAACTACATATTGTGACCCTGTCTCAAAAAATACAACATAAGAAAATAAAGACATACACAAGAAAAAAAAATCCACTTTTTTGCCTTTATTCAGGGATGCCTCTTGCTCAAGATCAGCTGCTCACCCACCAATCATCCCCTCCCCACACCCACTGTCCAGCCACCACTTGAGCACAGGAGCTCCGAGATTTCTCCTCCAAAACCACCCAGTTAAGCCAGGAAAATTCTACCCACAAGTGCCCGGGCCCCATCACCAGTATCACTCCTTCAAGGTCCTCAGAGGACTCAGATGCTGGAAAACCAGATTGAAGCTGATAATTCTCAGGCTCTCATACATGTATGTGGACCTCACCAGGCACCCCATTCCAAGCTCTCTCTATGCCCTCCAACCACCCACCCCACCCATTCTCACCCTTTGGTGCAATGGCTTGTGCCATTTGGATAAGAAATTCGGAGGTTCTGATAGAGTGGTCTAAAAGAGGGAAGCTGGGCTCTGGCAGGTGGGGGCACATCCCTGTGGGCCTACTGTCTGCTCACCCTGTGGGGATAGTGTAAAGAGCAGGGCCCTCTAGGGCATGGGGCCAGAATAGGGGCCAATCATGCCCAAACTAAGGACAATATTGGAAAGGACCTTCCACAATGATGCTTTTTCCTTCAATTCCCAACTTGTTCCTGATATAGCCACCTCAAGATTCTCACTCTATCTTCAGCAAGCCATGCCTCTCCTTCCCTTGTTAGCCCCCAATCTCAGCAAGGAGACAGAGGCTGGGGATGGGAGAAATTCATGAACCAATTACAGATAGCATGTTTAGGGGAAATGTGGCGCCATCACTCTTATGTTTTAAGCTAAAGATTCAAAGATTCAAAAGCCCAAAGTAGCTAGTTCTCAATTTTGCAAGGGCAATATGTAGTAAAACAAAACAGTAGAGACAAGGGAAAGATTCCATTTAGAATCAAATAGAATTGAGGGCCGAAAGGGAGGAGGACCATGCAAGTAATGGGGATCTTCATCTCACCTTGCAGAGCCCCCATGCTCCAAGTAAGCCCCAGGACTCTTGATTATTCACATGTACCTAACCATTTTTCAGTCTATTTTATTCACAAACATTTCTATATATAAGATGGGCCTTTTCTTTCCAAAGGAGAGTTGTTTCTGATATTTTCTAGTTCTGAGGTTCTTTAAAGAAAAGCATTTGGTGACTGTAACTGGTAGTTAGATCTTTACTTTAAATCTCAGATTAAGTCATGCTTTGGAAGTGCTACCTCCATGAAGCTGCTGAGGAAATAAAGGTTGAGGCGGGACATGTTGCAGTTCAGCTCCATGTCAGGCACCCTCTGTGTGGCTTTTCACACATCTGAAAACCTGCTTTGTGGTCAGAACCAGGAAGGTATTTCAGCCCCACCTCCTTTCCTCTCCTGCAGAAGGAAATATAGATCTCACCATCAGAGATATTGTCCCAGTAAGGGGCAAGGAACTCAAAGCGGCCCAGCTGAATGATGTTAAAGAGCTCATCCTGGTCTCTCTCCGGGCTGCGGAAGGGAGGGAAGCCACATAGGAGGATATAGAGGATCACACCTGCAGCCCACATGTCCACTTCCAAACCATAACCTGCACAAACAGAGGCAGAGACACAGCAAACCTGAGAGCAGGTGGGGTCAACTGTGATAGAATAAATGATGGAGAACTGTTGTTCTAAAGAATTCTAAATTATAAAGGCCCTCGGTAAGCAAAAGGCACTTCCAAATGTATGGTAGGCATTACTACCAACTACCCTTCCCCTAGTGCCAACTTCTCCAAAAAAGGAGTCTACACCAGTTTTCCTCAGGCTAGCCAAGGAACCGCTCTGCTATGATCTTGCCAGTATGTGAAAAACTAGCACAGAAATTGAAAACAAATGTTTGGAAACTTACAGCAATATGATATGGCTATGATATTCAAGTCCATGATGGATGGACACACCATCATGTATGTGTATGCCCAGAAGGCATAGATTAGTTCAGGTGTTGACAAATGCTGCCTGCAGCATGAGCTGCATTCTAGCCACATGCAGCAAGACCATGTACAAGTGCACACTGTAGCGGAAATTTGAAAACCTGGCCCTATACCTGAAATCATTTGAGAAGCCCTGGTCTACACTAGCAGTCTGCTTCCAATCTATTCATCACCTTCTTTCTCATTTGAAAACTATTTACTGGTGTTTTTAATGATAATTAAAAGACCGATATTTACTAGCTGTGTCTCCTGCATGAGTGGACCACACACATACATACATAAAAACACACATAGATGTGCTTTTAAAAACAAAATTAGGATCACATTATACACATTTTATTTCCTATTTTATTCATGTAATGTCATATAATGACATTTCCCACATAAGAATTCCTATGAAGAATATAGAAAAATTCTTCACAAACACGATTTCTAACATATATCAGTATTCCCTTCAACACAAAGAATCCCCTGTGTTGTGGTTTCAGTTTTTATTTTAATTTTTTGCAACTGTAAGAAATTTTCTGATGAGTATCCTTATATATGAAATATTTGTGCACATCTGATTATTTCTTGAAGTAACTTTCTAAAAATAAAATGTACAAAGTAATATACAGTGAAGTTTTTGATACATATCACAATCATCCCCCAAAAAGTTGTAACAGGGTATATACATTTTCATATGCTAACTTTTTAACTATAGGAAAGGAAAACACTTGGCAGCTATAATATGGAAGTTAGATGCTCATCATTAAGCCCCAGAGTTCAGTTTTTCAAAGCAAAAATCACCAAGAATATATTAAAGGAATAAGTCATTAATGAACTCTTTTGGCTTTTTTCTCCCAGTATTAGGGATTGGACCCAGGGCCTTCACACTGAGCTATATCTCCCCTCTTTGTTTGTTCATTTTTGAGATATGATCTTTCTAAGTCACTAAGTGGCCCAGGCTGTGTTCAAACTTGTAATCCTCCCACCTCAGTCTCAAGAATGCTAGAGTAGTATTACAGGTGTGCTGTGCACCATCATGCCTAGCTCCTGCTGGCCAATTTTGATGCCATCTGTGCAGTTCTCCTGAAGGGTACTGGTTCTGCTTGGCTTCTCTGTCTTCCTGAAATCTGCTGTTGGCCTCTGTGTCATTGCACTTTCCTGATCTTCTTCCCTTTCTCAGGTGGCTGAGCCCTCTGCTGACCCCTCCTTCATTTTCTCATGCCAGAACTCTTGACCCCACTCAGGTCCATGGTTAGCTGTCCATGCTGGTAACCCTGAGAAGCTCAGTATCTCATTGGTTTAGCCACCTTCTTGACAAGTCTCAGAACTACATGTTCAACTGAAGACCTCCCTCAGAGCCCCATTTTGAACCTTTGCCCTCACAGTCCCCCCACCTTGTGTTCACAACCCTATAAAAGACCTCAAAGCCTGTACAAGAGTCACTGGTCTGGTCTAAGTGCCAGGGCAGTCCCTCTTAGGTTTGTTCTAAATAAACCCATCCTGACTGTTGAGCTTGTGTTTTTGTTCCTCTTTTTTCCTAACAATTGATGAGGAAAAAGTTCTCAGGCTTTTGTTCTTGCACTTTGGTCAAGGAAGCCTGCTTCAAATATTTGCATTACAATCTAGGTTGAAACCTTAGTTATAACTCTGAGATTTTTTAATTGCTCCATATTGAAAAATACAAAATATTAAAAATAAGACATTTGTTAATAGGTGACCCAGAGCACCACAGAGTGATGTGCAGCACTTACCTTTCTCAGAAAGAATTTCAGGAGCTACATAAGTTGGAGTCCCACATACAGTAAATATAGGTCTCACCACATGTTTTGCAAGGCCAAAATCAGCTAGTTTCAAAGTGGTAGACTTGTCCTCATTTCGCTGAACCTGTAAGAAATCAAAATTTCCAAACCATTAAAATTGTAATGAGAACAAAGAGGAACACTAATAAGACAACACGCATGCAAAGTCAAGATAAGCAAACAATAAACTTACAGCAGCTTACGGTTTAGCCCAGTGGTGACAAATCCAACTTGACCTCAGAAACAACTGCTCACATTGTCAATGAAAGAACCAAAGTTAGACTTTTTTTTTTCTTTTTCTTTTTTTTTTTTTCCAGTACTGGGGATCGAACTCAGGTCCTTGAGCTTGTGCAGCAGGCGGCGAAACCACTGAGCTAAATCCCCAGCCCCCAAACTTAGATTTACTGTACAATCTATATTGTCACAGGTGGCCATTTAAGTTTGTTAATGAAAATCAGTTTCTCCACTGTGCTAGGCACGTGTCAAGTGCTCAACAGCCTCCTGTGACTTGTGGCTACCATACTGGACAGTGCAGAGAGGGAATATTTCCATCTTGCATGCAGGGAGAAGTCTTCAAAACCCCAGCCAATACAGTATAACACCATGCTGTCATGGGCCGCTGCTTAGCTGTCTGGAGGGCTCTCACTGGGTGCTGAGGCTGTGTGCTAGACTGAAGCACAACCTGCTCATCCACCACAGTGCCTTGACAGTGCTTGCTGAGGCCGGCAGAGTTCCCAACAAGGATGGGATGGGATGGGAGTGGAGTACACGTACCTTTTTCCAAGGACTCTTCTTTCCTTGATCCTACTTTTGACTGTTTTAGTAAGAGTTATATAAAACCAGCAACTTAGCAAATGGAGGGGTGGCTTCACCAGTGCACCCCATAAGTCCTCCATTGGTTTGTAAGTAATCCATAATCAACTCATTTACTCACCAAGCTGGACTTATCTGAGCCATTTTAGGGGAAATAAGCACCCTTTCAGTTCAGAGGAAGATGTTTCTTTCACATCTCTCAGAAAAAATACAGAACATGGAAGAATGTCCTATTGGACGGCACTGAGTTAGAACAAGGATCAATGACACTCTGAGCATAGACTGGCTTTGGTGAGAACTAGAAGATGCCTCTTGAGTAATTTCAACTCCAAGACTGGCAACTGATGGCTTTGGACACATTTCTTTACCCAGCTCAGCCTCTGTTTCATTATTTGTTTAAAAAGAGGATGAAGGGGTGTGATAACTTCCAGCAAATAAGCTTGTGCCAGAAGTTCCATTTAATGTCTGCAATCTACCTAGAAAAGTGTTCGCCAGTGACAAATTGTCTCAATTTGCCTAGGACTTGCACCAGGCTATGGGGAAGGGTAGAAATGGTCATTTTTTATAGTAGAGACTACCCTCATTCTGAAGAAACACAGTCTTAATGAATCCCCTCCTTGACATCATCAAACTTATTCCACCTGAGTCTCATTTCCTTGAACAAGTCCAGGTGATTGCCTCTCAGATCTCTGCTAAACCAGTTCCCACTTCCAAGTGAATGGCAAACCCCCATTCAGCCTCAAGGTACTTGCATATAAAATGATGATTGTTAAGCAATGTTGGTTCTTAAACTGAAGGAAACATATCTCAGGTAAGTGTAACAAGTATTTAGGTCCCTGTGCAAGGAATAATAAAACTAAAAGTATGTTATATTTCACATAGGAAAGAAAGGAAAGGAGGAAGGAGTTGGGGGAACACACCCAGCACATCTTACTGCAAGTTCAGGATGCACTGGTACCACTACACCATGGAAGCAGTTTCTGCTCTGAGGAAAAGGTAGCTAACCAGGCACAAATCAAATCTCTGGCCTCCTTCAATACTAGTTAGTACCTACTCAAGTAAGATCAAGCAATGATTGTCCCATATCTCATCTTAACAACTGATTGTTTGGAGTAAAGGTGAACTAAACAGTTAATGTGAGAACTTACTGGAATAAAGGTGGGAAATTTTATCCAAGTACAAGATTCATTGGTGCCACCAGAGCTGTAACAAAAATTATCAATTTGTCTGTAGGCACACACCCTCACACATCTCCTGAAACTGAGCCAAACATTTCCAACATTGCCACCAGCACCTGGGGGTAGGAAGGCAGTGGGGGAACTCTGGTTCTCCCTGTGCCCCATGAGCCATTGGCCATATCCAGCAATACAGGATGAAAGAGCATCTCTCAGTCTCTCTTGCCAGAGTAAGTTCTCTGCATTTACTTTAGTTCCTGCCAGCCAGCTGGCACCTGAATAAGTAGCCTGTGTCTTAATTACTGAAGCTCAGTCACCGCTGGACTAGTCCGTGTCCCTACTACTGACCTAACCAAATGGAAAGTCATAGATTTAGAACTAACATACAATTCTGCTTGAACTGCATACAGATACAGACATGGCCCACAAGGAACAACAGAATAATTTAGGCTAGAAAATCTAGCTTGGAAGGGAAGGAAAACAAAATAGTGTGGTGCCTACAATTACCAGATGGATCATCTCCATTAACCACATTTGCTGGGTAACTGCTAAAAAAAAAAATATGTCCCTCAAAAATATTTGTAAATATTCCCACCCAAAATATCAGCATTAAGAGCATTTGGCCAATTGAATACAACAAAATAAGATGTGTATTCCTATCAAAAATAACTGAAATATTCCCTTGCTTGTGGAAACTTTCAATTCTAAAACCTGGTTATGCTGAGATAGGAGTAGCAAATGAAATGTTTTGAAAACTCGGGCTTTTCCTTTGAAATCTGATTATATTAAATTTCCAGATGGTGATGGATACATTTTCAAAATACCAACTCTGTTTTTAAGTTATGTTATGGGCCTTTCTAACCTTTATTTTGCCTCCTCTTGTTCAGCTTTTCCTTCCAGTCTTGGGGTCTTGGGATCACCGTGGAGCATCAGCTACTGTATGACCAGGGCCCTGGAGGGTCAAGATCAGCGGCGGGGGGTGAGTTTGTCCCTTCCCAGAATTGTTCTTAATTCTTCTGCCTCCAGTTTCTGTTGGCAGGAGTTATTTAATATTCTGCAGTCCTGCCATTTGTTTCACCTACACATGCAGCTTCATTACATTTAAGGTCTCATACTGACTGTATGAGTTGTTTGGTTTGGTTTTGTCTTGCAATACACATCTCACATTCTTGGCTTCAGAACACTTCCTGTTTTAGTCCTTGAATTTAAATGAGTAATTTCCTCCTAAACAATTCTTCCTCCTAGATTCTGTGGGGCTTCAGTGACCACCAAATTCAAACTTCTGCCCAAACAGGAAATTTGTCTAAAATATCCTTCTACATACTGTCATTCAACTCTGAATGAAATCTCAAAATTGAAGCCTCCACAACAACTTGAGGCAGCTCCTACCATTTACAGCTAGCTTAACCTGTGAGATATATCCCACGTTGCTTCAGAATCCCATGCTGCCCTTGTTTTCTAAAATTCCTTGTGGGGTGACATTGAATAAGGTAACATCCCTTCCAAAGATGGGAAACAAGTACCATGTTGCTCCAGCTTGCCCTCTTACTTCCCTGAGGTGGCATCCCTGCATCCTCAACTAATCCTTGTAGGACCTGATTTCCTACTGTCAACCCTCTCTTTTTCCTCTCTACTCTGAGCATGGCCCCAGGACAAGGACCATCAACATCATTTGGGATCTGATTAGAGATCTCAGCTATCCCAGACCCACTGAACCAAAATCAACCTTTCTGTAAGATGTTCATGATGTGCACAGTAAAGTTCTAGATAAATGATCCCACATCATCAATGCCTGTTTTGACCCAAATGCCCAGAGCTGAACATCACACACCAGGTATGATTCAATCAAGGCAGTGGGTCTCAGGACTCTCAGCTGACATGGCATTGGGTGGCCATCAAGGTAGCCAAAAGACCCCACTAAATATCACACTTCAATGTCCTTACCTCAGAAAGCCATCACAGGCTTTCCTAGATTTGGTGGAGGTTCTGCCTGGAACTCCCTGACCTTGCCCTCACCTTACTTTATGATTTATCTGAACTCACTGCTCTGGGTCATGTTCCTGCTGGGCTCCGGTTTCAATATCTCTAACTGAAAGGGTGCCAGAGATTGCTTCACTCAGCATTGTAATGAGGGTTATTTGTCTGCCTCTATCTCCCTCTTTCCAGCCACTCTAAAATGTCCTTTGAGTCCAGATGATTTGTACTATTTACATAAGCATCCAGATAACCTTCTGGATACTCTCAAATTCTCAAGAGGAATTTTTCTAAATAATTTAGGCTCTACTCCATCCTTCAACAGTGTATCAAAATAAATATGAGCTTACAATTGTTTCATCTGTGAACAGATGATGGCAGCAGAGTATAATCAAAGACCAAGTGCTACCTTAAAAACTAAGACATGGGTAAAGTTTATTCAGTTTTGGCTAACTTCTTACTTGATCCTTCACACTTCGTTGCACCTTTTCCTTTTAAGGTTCATTATCAACTGGCCATAGGATTGAGATGATCTTAGAAACCAAATCACTTTAAAAAGACAGTGCCCAAAATCAATTGACATTTAAATAGTAAAAAATAATGTCATTTTGAGCGCAGAGGAGGAGGCTTCTGGGTCGACATGCCACTGCTCCCAGTGCAGAGGAGGTGAGCTGCATGGTGGCAGGAGCATTCCCCCACCCCCGATGAAATGAGAAGACACGTAAACAAGCCTCAAAACCAGACTTCCATATCACCTACAACAACCCCAAAGGGAAACAAGATGGAACAATCTGATACTCAACCACCTGGCAACAAAAGAGGATCTGGAAAAAATGAAATCAGAAATAATTTATCAGATAACAGCAGAGATTGTGCCCATAGTGCAAGACATGATTGATAAATCTAGAGAGGAGCTCAGAAACATGATGGAATCTTAACATAGGAAACAAATGGAATCCATAAAACAGATGCAAACAGCTTTCCAGGAGATTGAACACTTCACTGAAAGTCTATGCAGCAGAATAAGCCAATGTGAGGACAGAATTTCAGATATAAA